TGCTCGGAGGCAATGAACGGCATGGAGAGGCATGGTCATGGACATGGACATTCACATGCGCACTCGCATCGTCATCGCCATTCCCATGGCAGTTCTCAGAGCACGTCGCAGAATTCAAGTCAGCCATCATCAAAACATGGTCATGGCCATGTGACACATTCGCAGAAAGATACCGCTGCACCACCGCCAACTCTAAAAACCCAGAGAAACTTCAAGTTATTAGTCGACCCGTTTTTAGTTAAGGGAGCTACGAGACTATGTAGGTATGATGGGACTGTCCCAGGAGATCCAACATATCCACAGGTTCAGCCTCGTGATCCCAGATCACAATTGACAAGGATTTGGACTCGACTTGAACAGTTAGATTTACCCGTACCTAGATTTAAAATTGACTCCAATTATTGTGGAGAGCCTCCACCGCTGGAAGTGACGTTTTGTCATTTAAATGACAATATTGATAAGACATTCTTGTCAAACATGGTTCAAAAATTTGGATCTATAGAAGAGCTTACTATTTATTACCATCCGATAACCAGTAAGCATCTTGGCATAGCAAGAGTGGTATTTGAATCAACCAAGGCTTCCAAAGCCTGTGTAGAAAAGTTGAATAATACTTCTGTGATGGGGAAAGTGTTAAGGGTATTTTTGGATCCCTTTGGGGAAGAGTGCAAGAAGATGTTTGAGGAGTTAACCGTGGAAAAGAAACCTGAGAAGAAAGTAGAGAAAGAGGTAACAAAACCGGAATCTGAGCAAGAGAAACATCAGACACCGGTGGACAAGGTTTTACCTGAGGAAAGGGATGATTTTAGAAATAGTAAAAAAACTATTTTAAATATAGACAAAAACAGAGAACCATATGTAGAAAATTCAAGATATAACAAATACAGAGACTATCCTACACCAAGCGGTAGTACAGGTAGTGATTTGGGTTATGGAACAGCGCCGAGCGAACTGAATTATTCTAGTAATTATTCTCAAAATTCTACTCCAGCCACAAATTATGACTTTTACTATAGTAGTTATCACCATCAACCCCCAAATAGCTACTTAGCTGGCATCCCTCAGAATGTATCGCAGAATATACCAATTCAACAGAATTCGAACGTATGGTGGGGTGGTAATTCTGGATCAGCGGGATATTCTGGCTCTGCTTCCGTCTGGCCAATTCAACCACACGCGACAAATTTGGATGGTGCTAGTACTAACGTGATACCAATTAATAATAAGACTTCCAGTGTGAAAGTGCATCACACTCCTAAAAAGGAGAAAGAGAATCAGATCACAGTAAAGAGCACAGCGCGTGATTCTCCTGATGAAACTCGTAAAACACTAGATTTAGACACAAGAATCGCTATGTTACTGAAGGATAAAGCAGGCGGGATGGCACCTCCTTTTTTACAATTTGGCAGCGATTCGGAAGATGACAAGAAATCTCAACACGGTGACAATGAGATGCTATCGGAGCCTCCCAGTCCCTTCTTGTCACATGAGATATACAAACAGTGTTTTGACAAGATGATAGAGAGGAACAAAGAACGAAGGAAAGCTCACGAGAATAGCATTAGTCATTTTTCTGTGGACGAAGATTTGGGGAGCGTTATAAGTTCCAGTGAAGACGAAGCACTGTTAGGAAGTTATAGTCCAGCACCAGATGACAATGAACCAGAACCACCTAAAGAACCACCTCCACCTCCACCACCTGATGACGATAGAATGTCTCTGAGTCCTTTAAGTTCGGGAGATGAAAAAATTGAAGAAGTAAGCTCACTATATGTAAAATTTAGTGCATGATAATATTTATTACATGTGTAATTGCATATTATTTTATTCATAAATATTTTTCTAACAGGTAATAGCACAGACTGAACCTTCGAATCAACTGTATCCAACGAATAGTTATCCAGGACATTTAACTCACTATCCTTCAAATGATATTTATAATTGGCCACGACCAACGCAGTATCCTTATCCTTATGGAACGACTTACTTGCAGAGTCATTATCAACCTGCCACAGCATCCTTTTCGGCAACCATTGGAAATCAAGGAACAAATTATTACTCCTCTTTTCAGTCGCGGTTACATGCTATGGCAAATTATAATATCACAAAAGATCCACAGGCAAGATTTATTTACGTCGACTTATTACGTCGACATATGAACCTAAACTTTGTATTTTGTTCATGATTAGTTAGAAAACTATTTAAAATATTTCTATTTAGGGACCTACTATCAATGGGGTATTGAGCAGAGTTGTAAATGAACTAAAGCAGATTCTAAAGAAAGATTTTAATAAAAAAATGATAGAAAACACAGCATTTAAATTATTTGAAGTTTGGTGGGACGAAAAGAAATCGGAGAAAATTCCAACTCAAGGTAGTGGCGAAAATATTATTGTTAATAACACGACAAAGGAGGATGTGAAAACGCAAGGATTGTCATCTTTATTGGAACAAGCGACACCTTTAGGATTTAACTATGATGGTTTCGGTTTGGGTATTAGAGCTAGTATGCCAAAGATGCCTTCATTTAGGGTAAGATATGTTATTTTTGTATTTTTATTCATGTTTTTCATTTTTTGGCAATACTATATATCATGCATATATGTTTTCTTTATATGCAGCGCAAGATCAAAGCTCCAAGCCCATTACCACAGGACGAGGACAGCCGCCAATCAGGTCATGCTGATGTAGAAACTATTGAAAGTGATAGTGATTTGGATGTACCACCTGTACAAAAAACCAAGAAACCAATAACCTCTCTTCCAACCATTTCTTCTTCGTCTACTACATCTTCATCGGTTGAAAGTAGCAGCGAGGAAATTAGTTCCAGCGAATCTTCCGATAGTTCAAATGAAAGTTCTGACGAAGAAGTTTGCTTTGAGGATGAGGTGCGTATAGAGCGTAAATGATTACACTCAGATTAATGTAGGTGCAAGTTATTTTTAAACAGTTGTGTTAATTAGAATGGATTGGTTTTTAGCAAGATACAGATAGTCGAATGTCCGATCAGAGGCCTTTGGCTTGTAATAGTGAAGATCCTGATATATTGATGGAACTCGCGATTCAAAGGTCTTTGGATTGTCCCACGCCGACCGGCAGAGAAACGCCGGTGCCGGATATCAAAATTAAAGATCAAAATTCGAACGAATTTCCGCAGATTGATGATGATAATAATTTGAGCAGTCCGTTAGCTTCTGTGAGATACGAAAATGTCAAAGAAGAGGAAAGTATTTCCGAGAAATTACCCGTAACAGAAGAAAAGCCGTTCGTATGTAGAACCTTGGACAAAGAGGTGAAAGATCTATCGAGAGTCAGCGAGGATAAGGAAACACAAATCGAAACGAAACCTACACCGATAGTAATAACATCGGCAATAAAAGAGGAGATACTACCAGATATGCAGAAAATGGAGAACTCTGCTGCTGAAGCTTTAATGACTTTAGCTGGACGAGATAATATTATCCGGCATAGGAGTCCAGGTCCTATACAGCCTAATATTATCAGGGCATTGCAGACAATGTCAGCCAAATACATCAATAACGAACCTATCCTGAAGGAGAATGAGAAGATCGAAATGTTCAGCGAAATTCCTACAACTGACTCGGAAGAAGAGAGCTTAGAAATTAGAAGACTAAGGTCAGTAATACAAGTTTTTGTTAAATAATGATCTTTTTTTGTATTTAATATTCTAATAAAGTGCATACACATTACCGGTGGATTATTCACGATAATCGATGACGATGCAATGTTACGATATTTTTCTGCAGGTACCAAGCAGAGACTGAGCTTCGATTAAATGGACAGCGAACACCGAGTTCACCTGGTTCGCAGGCTTCGCAAGTGTACATGGAGCATTCGTATTCGTTGCCCCCTGCACAACCGGAGCCTGTGGAACCAGTGATACGTGTACCGCCAGCCTCGGTCAAAGTAAAACATCCGAAGATCGTTAAATTGACGAAATCGAAGGACAATGCTCATAAAATGGAAAAACAGAAATCCAAGAAATATACAAAAGTGCATAGCAGTCATCAGAATCATGTGGGAGAGAAGGAAAATATACGGAATGATTATATATACAAGCTGCCTAAGCAGATCTCCGAACCGACTGTCACGTACAAGGAACGAGATCTTATGTCAGAAATGGCTATTTTGTACGAATTTTTGACTAGAGGAATAGATGCAGAGGATGTAGAGTACTTGAGAAGGAGTTACGAAGCTCTATTAGCGGATGATACGCAAGGTTACTGGTTGAACGACACACATTGGGTCGATCATCCGCCGACGGATATACCGAGCCCTGCGAAAAAGAGAAAACGAGACGAGTTGCGGTTACATGCAAGTGGAAGCGCTAGAACGGAAGGATATTATAAAGTTGACATCAGAGAAAAGGCTAAACACAAAGTAAAATATTTAAAAAATATTTGATATATTTGCAAACGCACATTTTTAAAAAATTTAGAATATTTCAGACACATATCAATATATTATTTTATCAGAGTTTTGATAATACATGATATACATAATTTTGATACATGATAATTTGTTTTTGCAGCATCATTATGCTCAAAGCATACAGCGCAGTAATGACGTGGAAGATAGCGGCGGCTCTTATATTGGAGGTGATGGTGTAATGAATGGTCCAAAGAATAATTCTAAAGCATTGACCGGCAAAATGCAAGCGCTGTCACGTGAAGCACGCAGCAATCAACGCCGGTTGTTAACAGCTTTCGGAATCGATACGGACAGTGATCTTCTTAAGTTTAATCAATTAAAGGTAGAATATAAAATTCAATACATTTATTAGTACTACAAATTCGTACATTTAACATGTTTTTAATATAAATCCGAATATAAATAATTTTGTGTTTTAGTTCCGTAAAAAACAATTAAAGTTTGCTAAGTCTGGTATTCACGATTGGGGTTTGTTTGCCATGGAACCAATTGCGGCCGATGAAATGGTTATCGAATATGTTGGGCAAATGGTTAGACCAGTTGTAGCCGATCTACGAGAAGCTCAATACGAAGCCACTGGAATCGGCAGTTCTTACCTTTTCCGCATCGATTTAGATACAATTATCGATGCGACCAAGTGTGGTAATTTGGCGAGGTTCATAAATCACAGTTGCAATGTGAGTTCCTTGAGATTATCCACTTCTTCAATTTTGATTGGCTGTGTATTAATATAATGAATATGTTTTATATGAAAAAAGAAAGTGATTTCTAGTCTGAATTGAAATTCGATATGATGAATCGATAGAAGTTTGAAATTTGTAGCAAAGTTCGATGTTAATCTTAAAATGAAAATAGCAGAGTGATATGTATTTTGTCGTAGTTACCAAATCTTTGTTTCTTTTAGCCGAATTGTTACGCAAAAGTAATCACGATCGAAAGCCAAAAGAAGATCGTAATCTACAGTAAACAACCGATAGGAGTTAATGAAGAAATTACTTATGATTATAAATTCCCGTTGGAGGATGACAAAATCCCTTGCCTTTGTGGAGCTCCTCAGTGCCGGGGTACCCTCAACTGAATTGTTCATTCTTTTTCCTGTCTTCTACATTTCGTCATGTCCTACTCATATTTTTGTAAATATTTCCCCATGTAAACATTTTATAAAAATGCAATGGAAAATGCTAAATTATGTTAAGATGCGTTTTTCCTACTTTATTACGAGTCCCTTCTGATTCAGTGAAAACGTAATGAATGTATGAATTGTTGTGCGTGTTACAATTATTTTTATATTTGTCATTACTTGCTAAATATATTAAATGGTAAATAATTTGTTTTAAAAAAATACTGCTGATAGAATAGTTGCAGTTACAAATAATGTAAATATTCTATATGTGATATATACATATATTTATACAGGATGATTTTTAATTATATGTCTATTAATGAAAGAAATGGATTTCAAATGCAAAATAAAAAAGAGAATGTTATACGAACATAGATTTAGATTTCATTTATAATATAATTAAAAAAATTAAAGAAAACATTGATTATATTATTAACAACATTTGAAAGTGTATATATATATATATATATATATATATATATTATT